TTATTTTTGTTTCAATTCTTTCTCTTTTTTTACCTTTTGGTATAGAAAGAAATGACAGCTTGGATCATCTGTCCTTTTCTTTTCAGTGAGTATAACGAAGGTGAACAGGTTAACGTGATGATCGAGTTCTAAAAAGAAATAACTTGAATGAATTATTCAGTTACATCTTTGAATAATTGATTTATATGATTGACTAGTCATGCATTGAATTAATAGTTTTACGTTTGTGGTGCACCAAAAGTTGTACGAAAAAAATTCATTCAACTTGTTAAAAATGGATAAAACTTTTAAAATATTCGATCAATAAAAATAAGAAGAAATAAATTTAAAAATTCTTGAAATAAAATATTCACTAAGTAGGAAGATAAAAAAAAGGTTTGAGTAAGTTGGAGTGGAAATGAAATTTTTAAAATAAATTACGAAATTAAAAAGTTTAAAAGCAAATATTAGTTAATTATGAATGATGTGAAAAAAGCTAAGTAGATTATTTGGATAAATCATGATAAAAAGTAAGTTGTATAGAATAATAATAAGTTTTATGCAGCACAAATGATGTGCAATTTGAGAAAAAGTCTTGTAGAATATGTAAATTTATTTTCAAGACGACTTGGACTTGAAGATATGGTCGTTTTCTGCTTTCCGATTATATAAAGAAACTCTATAGAGAGACAAGAGGAGGAAAAAAAAAAGTAAGAAAATATCATGCATACGTTATGGAAAATAAGAGCGATCTGAAGCTTTTCAAAGGAACTTCGTCTATGTCAGAAGACGATGCGTATAGGAATCCATCTTCTTGGATGTGAAAAAAAGATAAAGAAAATAAATGTCGTCGACAACGACGTCACTATGCAACCAAGCGAACGGAAAAACGGCATCGTTTTCTGTCTTGTCTTTTTACAAATCGTTTCAACGAATCACTCTGCAAATCTCTGACTCACCATCTCATATAAAAGACGAATAACAACGTCAAATAGTTCACTGGATTTTGCTGCAATTTAATTGTGTGTGCATTTATATATCAAATCTCGTCTTGATTTTATATACAGTCTCCACGACCTAACAAACTTTTATGAAGTCTTATTTCAAGATGAAAAAATTTGTGTCGGTAAAATGGACGTCAATGACCGGTAGAATTGCACTTCTAACTGGTCCTCAAACTTCTGGTTTTGTGCTCTTCACCTTACTTGTTTCGTTGTTGGAAAAAAGCTGCGGATCGTTCTCTCAACAGACTCGGTATCTCCTTCTGAATCTTCATCTTCTCTGAAATATTTTTTATTTCCAATGTCTCTTGCTCCCTCGAATGAAAATAACTGTCAGAGGGATGATTTTTTGTTTGCTTCGTACTCTTGTATCCTTATTTGTGAACTTGAGTTTATTAAATGTAGGGCTGCCTTTTCAAACCAATCATCCCTGATATTTCTCCAGTTACATAAACTTTGCTTCATGTAAATTCATTTTCAATCAATACTTTTCAAATTGTAGCTCAGATTCATTTTGATATATATTTGATATTCTATTGACAAGTCATTTCAGAATTTACTCAATTAATTCATTCAAGATGAATCACTTAAGAGAATTGTATCAAGTAATATCTTGGATTTAATCAGAATAAAACATCAGTTCAATATTAAAATTAATGAATAATCAGCTAAATTAATTGATAAATGATTAATTATTATTAATTGCTCTTTGTCATTAAATACGACTTGTGATTTACAAAATTAAAATATTAATATTTGTTTTCACATAAGATGTTAGTATTGATCTTTAACATTAACTGTATAATTATTTTCCATCTTTCAACCTATTTCAAAAGATTTAAAAAAAAATAATTTCAAACGTAAAATATTGCTATTCATTGAATTAAGGTCGAGCAAGATAAATACACCAACTGGAATAAGAGTAATAACAGCTATTAATTTTTTGTCGATTTCAAATTTTTATTTAATTAAATATTGTTAAAAAATAAATGATAGTCATTAAATTTGCTCTAACTGTTGCTGAGTTCAAAGAAATAATTATGAATTATGGGTACTCGTTATTGATAATTATTAAATAATATTTATTGTGAACATCGTTGAAAGGAATATTTTTTGGCATTATTAAAAAGAAAAATGACCTGCCTCAAGACCTACCAAAAAAAAAGCTTCATAAATTTTTCGCAATTGTTCAATTAAAAAAAAATACTGGCTCATTGATTTAAAAATTTCTTTCAAGTTTTAATTCGCTGAAACCTACAAAGTGAATGAATATATTCATTTCATTCATTCATTTTACGTGAATGGGACAGCAAAGAAAATATTCATGCTTTTACATAACTTGCTAACTCTGACACTTATTCTTCTTACTTACAAGTAAAAATAACAGTTAGTGCAGATGCAAAGAGACCTTTATATTTTTATCATGCATATAAATTCAACTAGATATTAGATATTTTTTTTATCAAATATTCAAATTATGATTTCGAATATATAATCTTTGAAACTTTAATTCAAGACACATAAAAATGTTGTTTCATTTCATTAAAAAGTTTTCAAACGAATTTACTTTTAAAATAAAACATCGAGTTTGATATCAAAGAAAACTTTACTGGATGTTATTACATTTATTTTTCCATAAATCACATAAATCATATAAATTAATACTTTCAATGCAATAATAATTTACATTTCAAAATTATAATTTACTTGAAAAAATTAAACCAAGCTAGTTCGTAACTAATTAATAAATAAAATTATAATTTCAAATAACGAAAAACAAATGTGATGTTCATTTTTTTTTTATTATTTAATTTAAATTTCAAATTATCTCACTAGCTAGCTCTATAATTATCATTAAAACCAAACATGTTATTTACTTGGAATTAAATGAAAACATTATTTATAATTAATTGATAATTGGAAATTAATACACATTACACGTAGTAATGGGTGAGAAAATATAACTAATATGTAATACATGCAATGAATTAGTAAAAGCATCCAAGTAATTACCGATTACAATAGTATTTGTAGAAAACGACAAATTAATTCGAGTGTTTCGTCTATTAGTGCAGGTGCGAGCAATAACAATGCTAATTAGGTGCAATAATATCACGCTATTAGCCATTGTACATTAACGGATATTAATTAGAGCCGGTCGCAAGCATAAAGGATAAGAAAAAAGAATTTTCTCTAAGTCATTAATTAATTATAATTACTTAAAAACTTAATATTAGATGCAAGGAATGTTTTTTTTTTGTTCAAAACATTTTCTACGCACCAATGATTAATTAAATTATTAAGACAATTTTCTTTTATTATTGGTTTATACCCTCATCATGAAATCGACTCATAGCATTGATAATTAAATTCGTTAGAATTCTCTTGAGCCGAATTTTAACAATGATATTCCATTAGCTACAAGCAATTCACAGTAATAGTTCATCCTGTTAAACCGAGCGTTACATTTATGTGTCTGTTTCCTGTTGGTTTGCATAATTGTCGTTTATATATGTTTCACAAGACGTCTTGACATCGTCAGCCAAGCCGTCTTGTCTCTCAAGCCCATGCAATATCACTCCCTTACTTAGAGTTGACGGACACTCATCCCTACGCAAATGGTAAAGTATAATTACTATTCTCATGCATAGCAACAAGATAAGATGTATTACGTGTTGATGTTATTTAATTATAAAGAGTCTCTGTGTATTTTACATGTCTATTTTCAATGCCGTCTAAATTTAAGTACATAGAATCATCTTTATACTCTCATCAACCTTTTCACAATCTTTCCAATTAATTCCCCCCCCTTATTATATCATCTTTCATTAATGTTTATTACTTCTGTTTTGAAGATAATAAGTAGACACTAATTGATAATTTCAGTTTAAATATGGCAAAGTAATCATTATTTAATCTTGAGTTAATAAAAAAACAATTTTTTGTAATGAAGAGAATTCTTTTTTTTTTATTTTTAAGTTTATTTTGTCAGTCTAGAGTCTTTGGAGTTAATCGCTTGATTTTTTGAGCATCTTAATGTTATCCATCAGAACAAAAAACAGAGAAGATAAATTAAGTGATTAGAATATACCCGTAACTAATTTAAATAAAGAGAAAACAATTCAGATCTAAAAGAGAAAAATTATTCTATTAAAATTGTAAATGAAATCAATTTTTGCTTGGCTTGAGAGTTTTTCCTGAACTTTACTTTAATTTATTCTTGAATTCGTAATTTACAATTTAAATGATGCAATTAGCCCATTAAGTAGATCAATTGTATTACTTCATTAATCAAGCTATTAGTCGGCTACATCAACTTTAATGAAAAGTCTCAGTAGAAATTACTATTTTACTGTAAAATGATTTGTTGAAAAGATGTTGTCTTAATCGATAGAGAAATGATGAAACAGAGTACGATTTAGCCAACAATCGAAAATGATTTTCAAATATCGATCAAATTTTCTATCTTTTTCACTTGAAATATTTTCAATGAAATAAAAATAAACAATTTGTTAAAAGGATTATAAATGTTCGGAAGTGATAAAAAATTTTTATAGAAAAGCTTAAACAATAAATCCACAGTAAATATTGCGAGCAATCGAAAATTCTGTTTTACGATTTTACCGACGGTGATAATCTATGTAGATAGGATCGCTGTAAAATGCATTGGAAATCGTTTAATCCCTACTTTTGTGAATATCCAACTAGTTTAAATAATTTCTGCTCAGTTAGCTATTGAATTGAATATGCTAAATCACAGGTAAATTTATAATCTTATGATAACGATTAATTAATTAATCTCTTTGAAGCGCATTAAATTATTGACTCTATCGGATTTTTTTTTTCGTAATTAAATATAATGATTGCAAATAAATGGTATAAAATGAATTTAATTATAACTGCATCATAAAATACGTAACAAATTGGCGATTAAATAAATAATGACTCTGAAATAATAAAGAGGATTTGATATGATGAGATTAATTAATTCATAATTTTTTAAGAGTTATAATGTCTTACCTGTTCAGCTGATTCGGTGATAAATGAGTGACAATACTGGATGGTGAAATGAGCTTGTGGTTCTCGAGCAAGAAAACTAAACTGCGCGTGTTGAGGTTCACAAGTGGCATATGAGATACGCCTCAATGCATGTGCCATTTGCACCCTCTGTAAAAAAAAAGGGGGAAAAATGTTTTAGTATGTAATATGCATAAAATTTACTCATCAGGATAATTATCAAAAATATGCATATTCAAATTAATTAAGATTTTCGCCTGTTTAAATAGGACAAAGTAATACAAGGGCGAATATTAACAAAAATATCCCAAGCAGAAATGAATTTTTTTACATTCATTATAATAAGTATGATGTAAAAATATATCATTATTATAATTGCGGAAGCTTTTATTATTTTCCTTGAATATTTTATTCTTCCTTTGGTTTTGCAATTTATGATTATCAGGCCAAGCGGTAGGATATGTATGTAAATGGAAACGGAATAATTTGCAGTAATATCTAGCATGTTGACGATACATAAGGGGAATGAGTGGTCATCCTCATTAGTTGTGTACATCTCATAAATATCACTTATGTGTATCAGTTGAATAAGAAGAAGAGCACCAGAGTCATGAGAAGCTACAGATCCTGGCTCGTTAGTAAGTGCAGTAAATCTTCAACGAATCCAAACTGACGAGTGTAGGATGAGACCCTTAAGCTGTGAATAAATGCCGACAAGAAGTTCAGAGAGTTAAAATGGAGCTACTCTAGGACAGAATATATCTATATCTTCATGACGTTTCCTTCCTCTTGAAAATAGGATTATCACATAAGGCTTGTTAGAATCAGACCTGATGATATCTTTTCAGCTTTGCAGATAAAAAAAATTATATATATTTTTTCTCAACTAATGTTGATTAATTAATAATTTAAAGAAAAAAAAATATTGAATTGAAGGAAATCATTAAGAAAGTTTTTTAAAATGAAAATATAAAGTAAGTGACTAATTTTCTTTTTTAATGATATTGGTTAATAAAAGTCAGTCTTTATTACTCAACTTGAATAAATTTATTAATATATTTAAACATTTTATGAGCTTATTAAACAAAATTACTGGAATTATTGAAATAAATTAATCTAATTAGTTTTAATGAATGCAATAAAATTGATATAATTTTTCTTTTATGATACAAATGAACAATTTAAGAAGATTATAAATCTTGATAATTGAAAATGAAAAAGAATGTTTCAATGGCTTATCAAATAAAGTGATTTTACTATCGAAAATATGAGAAAAGGGAGTGGATAATTACGAAAACTTCTAGCTTGTCTTTCAATATTTGAATCCACTTCAACTTTTAATGGCAATTCAGTGAGCGATTTTGCGGAAAACTTTGTGAAAAGCCTGCCACCATTTATAAGTAGACTTTTCATTTATTAATAAACTTCATTTCACACTTTCATCAATGTTTCGAATTTTATGTAATCAATTTTTCATTAATAATAGTATGGAAGTTGGTAATAGCCGTTGTAATTAGAAAATTATCCAAAATAATTCTACATATTTTTGTTTTAAAAAATGGTGTTTGAAAAGTTGTGTAAGCCAATTATGCTGAAAATCAATTATTCAAATGGAGCGTAAAAATTGTAATAAACTGATTGAATTCTAATTTTCAAAAGGTCATTGACATGGTAATTTTCGTTTATATTGGGTGAGTAAGCGACAGTTCGGGGCGGTTGGCATTATAAAACTTGTTTTTTGATTTCTTGCTACTGGCGCAACGGGTAAATTATCGGGATCCATGGACTTTTGCATCAGTACAGACATCAGAAAGCCGATTTTTGGGCGTTTACAAAAAGCCTGATATTAACGGGGCTACTCTGACCAACCCAAATTTGCTCTTATACTACTGGCGATTTTTGAAGTCAGAATTTATGAGCTGCTTCATCTTACCAGAAGATTAAAGGTTGGGCAAATGATAATTTTGAAAATTTACATCATAATTAATAGGATGGTAACAAGGTAGATGGATCCGAAAAAATAGTTCATTTATTATCGTCATTGATTTTCTAAATTATTAATTATGGTCAGTAATATTACAATTGAGAAGCAAGTATTAAAAAAAAAAAATAATAATATTTACTTCTTCCTTTTGATAAGTAGAGAGAAACCGGATTGTTAACGAAGAAAAATATTGAGGATTTTACAGCGAAAAGGATTGAGTAAGAATGATCCTGCTGTGCAGTGTAATCATGTTATATTCAAACAGTTAAACAATTTAATATGATTTAATATAAATTAAGTTAACAATTCATGAAAAATCTTGCATGGAGTTAAAAGTTTCAATGTATCAATACAAATCTCTAATCCTAAGTTAATTTTTTTTATTTTTGTGTAGTGTACCACGATTTTACTGTACGGTTGGGCAATTTTCATTTTTATAATACCGAGATTCCAGTAAGATAGTCAAAGGTAATCAATTACATCTTTTGATCTTTTATAACGGTATAAAAAAGAAGAAATAATTTGTAATAGAAAATTATTATCAGAAAGAAAACAAATTAAAGAATGACAAATATACTAGAAAAAAATCTGTTTGAAAAATTTTTCTACTTTTCCATTGATCTTTCCCCTTTTTATTCTATCTAATAGCTGATGATAAATTGATGAATGTAAAGAATAATTTGACAGTACGGAGAAAAAAAGGTAAAATAAAAATTACTCTGCAAAATGATAAAATTTGCCTTTTCTTTACTCCACAAAAATCAGCAGTTTTGATTAAATACCAAGAAATAATTGTTTTGCAAATCTCTGGGCTTCTTCAATATTTCACTCATCTGATAATTAAAATGAGAGGATTATGTAAATCTTTCTGATGAGAAATTAGCGTTCTTCTGATCAGTTTCTTATCATAATAATGCTATCAGAGTACAACACCGTATTCCTTGATCCAGTCGTCTAATCAGTTCCTTATCGAAATCTAATACCAAAAACCTCTCTATAGCTCTGGTATGTTATTTGTGTCAAGATGCTATCGAATGTACTGAATTGAATTCCAATACAATATTTAATTTATCTCATTAAGTACATATTTAATATTTTTTTACAAAACTTATGTATAATTTACAGTTTCATTGCTAAATTAATACTTTAAATTCAAATAATTAAATTTACTTCCAATTTTCTCTCAAAAGTATCTGATTCAATAAATATTTCTATTCTGATAGAATATTTTCAGTTATTTCTCGTTTTTAAGTTAAATTACAAGTTTAAAAATTACTCTTGTGATCAAAAAGTTATTCCAAGACACACCTGATAATAAGTTCAAGAATAATAATCAAGCATCAGCTGTTTTAGAATCAAATTTTTCTTGCACTTAATTTTTTTTCAGAAGAGTTAAGTTTGATGTCCAAACTTTATGATTAATATTCCGGAGAAAGCTTTATGAGTTGTATCATGGATGGGTTTATCGCATGCAGATCCCGCGAGGTTCGCGTGACACGCTTGGAAAATGAGGGAAAGTTTGCAACGCAGGTTATTTCAAACGAGCCACACTGGACTAATTACATGTACAAGCTAAACTGCACTTTAGTTAACGATTCTTGTTTCTATACTTGACTGATGTGACAACTGTACACATTTATTCCGTTGAAAATCATCATGTTTTATCATCAAAAATATGATGACCATTTAAATAAATAGAATTAAGACAGATAGATAAAAATGTTATTTTTAATACAATGTAAATAAAGCAATCCTCTGTAGTTACCTCTTTTAAGAGCAAATATGGTGAATGTGAACTGAAGAGTTGCGTTTGCCGTCTTTAAGTGTAAAAAAGTAAATGAAAATCGTAAAGGATGATGTTGAAATCTAAAAAGTTTATTGGTGACAAGCTGCAAGATAAACAACCGCCTTTTAAGTACTACACTTGGATGTAATGCGAAAGCTTTTTACTTTCGTAGGTTTTGCTTTGGCGCTGATAAAAAAAATGAAAAAAATAAATAAATGAGTGACTTGAAATACTTCCTTTAAAGGGAAGAGAGAACTTATTTGAAATATAAATGAATAAAATAAATAGTAGACATTTCTCCAATAAATAAACAAGGATATTTCATCAAATTGTAAACTGTATACCTTATAAAATCCATGACTATAAAAAAATTTAATTAAATATTTTTTTGTTAAATGTTTACATCATATTTTACTTTTTCATTTCATTCTTCAATTTCATAGTTAATAAATGATTCATTAAATTGAATCAAATTTTTTTCAATTTATCTCATTATCAGAGCAAGAATAAAAAAAAATCGTACAAGTGTCGCTGGTATGGAGTAATGTGATGAGTGAAAAATCCTAACGACGACTTCTTGATAGAATTAAAATGAAATTTTTTTGCTGAAGACAAGTCGATCTATTCACCGAGACTTCAGCAATCAAATCACTGTCTTGTCTTTTTTTTTTCAAAATAACCATTCGTAGCAGTTACATGTCTACCCTTCTTCATTTTTTCTCGAGCTTCATCGAGACACAATGCATCCCCAATGAGGAGAAAAAAGCTGAAAAAAAAGGATCAAAGGGTTGATGGAAATTGGGATCCTCGGCACTCGTTTTCGCTCTGGCGCGTTGTCGGGTGGCTTCAGTTTGAGGAAAAACTCGGGACGCAAACATACATTGACGAAAGGCTTTTGAGTTTCGCGAGAGAGCCAAATAGCAATGGGGGTTAGTTAGGGTAGACGAAGGTGCATACATATCTGGACGTTATGCCCTAACCGAAAAAGTATATATAGAAAGAAAAGAGATTGAATGAGGGAGATGGCAGATATACGCATGGTTGGAGTATTTTGTTTGCCCTGTGTGTTCCACCTGCGGATTTTCTGGTGTATACACGAAAGACTACTCTCGGTGTCGCGTTATAGTTTCCTCGACTCGTACCACTCGTTTTGGAATCCCTCGGGAGCCTCTTGTTCCATTCATTTATTTAACCCGTTTTTTCTTGTAAAGAAATGGAAACGGATGAGAGTGTTTTTAGATTTTATGTACGTTAATTGTAAATAATCAACATATATTAATGTTTGTATACGAGACTTTTTTTTTTTTTTTTTAATTTTAAAAATGCCAAAAAAGGATTTCTATGGAGATAATGAACATTATTTACATTCCTTATAACAAA